GAAGAGCGTGGAGGCGCGAAACGCTCGTTCCCCGTGTCCGGAAGCATCGATGTGGCCTGAACGTCGCGCGAGGAGGGCCAGCGAGAGGAGGACGGAGCGAGCTGGGAACTAGCCTCGTTCCTATACGGCCGCGAGCGGTGCGAGAGCGAGAGAAAAGGATAACGTGGCCGCGCATGCGTGCCGTCAGCCTCCGGAACGGCCGACGGAGATCTAGATGGAGTACGGATCGGGTGGGAGCGCGAGCGCGAGAGAGGGAGAAGGAGGAACGTATACACTGGTCTCGTAGGGCAGTCGTTCCTCCTTCGTCGTTCCTTCGCAAAGGCGCAGACCGCTTTTAACGAGATTATTTCGCACGAGAGGGAAAAAATTCGGCTCGCGCCTATCCCACTGGCGGTAGCTGTCGCGGGCTACGTTCTACCGGTGTCTTTTGGTCGTTCCGGACCAGCGAGCCCCGTTCGTATCGTACGGTGTCGCTGCTCCCTCGTACTATCAGTGCAAGTGGTGTGCCGGTGGCGTAGCGAGAGGAGCAGGCGGAAGAAAGGAGGAAGTTACGAGACGTCCTCGTCCTCGTCGTGCACGGGTCAGTATCGGTCGAGGAAAGTCGAGATTCTTGATCGAAGGTCTCGGTACGTAACCGGAACCAGTCCTGAGTAGCTGACGGAGTGTTTTGGACCCGGGCCGAAGGAGCCAGCCCTCGTGTGCAGATTCTTTCGGTCGTCCTGCACGATCAGCGTTTATTGATTTCGGCAGGAGGTGCCATAGCCTCCGCGTTTACTCGTCACGCGAAATTTTTGGCCGCACCATCGCGCGTTTTGCCGATCGATTCGCACGCTCGTCCTCCCACCAGTCTCGCTCGCGGCCGACCCTATACGCTCGCCTCTGTCTCTCCTACGAGACACGCTTTTCCCCGGTTTCCGACCCTCGCGATCTTTCGATCGAGAAGCCGCGTAGAACCGGTGAATCGCGTCGATCCGTCAGACGAATCGCGATCCTCTGGATCGGACGACTCCGCGTCCACGACCCTACGTCGATCGATCGTTCGACCGGACAGGACACTCTGTTCGGAGTACGTGTACATGTATGTGTGCACTTCCGCGAGTGTGTGCACGGGTAATGTGTACGGTGCACCGTGGCCGATAGTGTTCCTCCTTTCCGTACGTGCGTCCCATCGTTGGTTCCATCTACGTTGGCCATTTTCCAAAGTGTAGAGAAGAACAAAGGACCCAAGCGACGCGGGGTCTATGGGGCCGAGTGGACGTAGGATCGGCAAGAACCGTGAGTCGAGTGATTGCACTCCGACAGGGGTAAGAGACTGGCTAATTGTTCCCTTTGGTTGTTTCAAGCGGGACCGTTTCAGTCGCTCTTCACGCACAGCTAAAAAGGGTCCCTCGTTTGTTCGCCGTATGTGACGGCGACCCGACGGATTAGACCGGTAGCATTTCGAGCGTGAATCGGGACCCCATCGGCACCGAAAATCCTTCAGCTCGATAATTGCGTTCGAGTGGCGCAATCGAACGGAGAGGAGAGAGGACTCGTTTCTGGCCCGCTCGATTAGACACCGCCGACTCCGGGGCTTGGTAATAAATCCTACGGGATCAATCGTGATCCGATAGGGTCTAATTAAAGACGAAGCTCGAGACGCTTGAACCAGAAGCAATCTCGTTCCGTTCCAGTTCGTTCGTTTCCGATACGGATTTATCATAAGGCACTGACGCGTGGCTTGTAGGTTAGGTTATCGTTATAAACAAAATATCCAGACGCGGTGGTTGTCGGGTGACGAGTGTCTGGGTGGGCGATCAGAATCGTGGAAGAAACGTGCCGTGGTTAGGTCTGGGTAGCGGCGAAAGAAAAACGAGGGGGCATCCGGTGAGAGCCGAGTCATCGCACTCGGAGTGCCTCTTATCTTTCCGGCTGCTGGCTCTGGTTGTAGGTTAGAGACACTCGGCGTGGATAGCAGCGTCAGAGTGAGATCGGATCGATCGATCGACGACTTTCGAAGGGAGCCTCTACTCGAGTTTTCCTGACCTAAGAACACAGCCTGGCGTGGAGTGGCGTGGAACGGGGTGGAGTGGACTCCACACAGAATGGGCTACCAGAGTGGGGGATTCGAGTAGGGGAACCCCGCCCCCTTTCGAGCGTTCTCCCCGACAACGACGATGACTGCAGATTTGTCTTTTCTTTCTTGTCAGAGAGGCTTGTGCCATCGCTCTTATCAGCGACGACACGCGTCCTCTCTTTCCGTTAGGTTAGGTTACGTTCCGCGCGAACGCCGATAGGGCCGGGTGGGGGGAGGATCCTCGAGTGAAATCGGTCGCGTGACGCTGGCTAATTAAAAGTCCGCTCGTCCTGAGACATTCCTGCGGTGCTCGTGGATCGATCGTGGTCGCGTCGTTATCGTTTCCATCGGGCACTAGTTCTCCCTGCCGTGGCTGGAAAGTTCGTTGCTTTCGTTTAGAGTGGTCTCACCCCGTGATCCGATCGATCTTGGACGGCCCGAGGGTTACGAAGAAGAGATAAGGGGACAGCAGGGCTAGTCGCCACGTGGCAGGATCGTTCGTGTGCACGTGCACTTGGAGGATCGACCGGTATCGTGTCCTTTCTCTCTTCTGTCCTGTAGAGTCCAGGCGAATGATGTCCAATTGACGAAGACCGCGCAGTCCTAGGAATGGCCCCATTCAGTTCCGTCTTCCTGGGCGTCTGGGGAGTCTTTTTGATCGTCCTGATACAAGGTACTGCTCATCACGTTTCCGCACTATTGCATTCAGTAGTTCTTAACCTTCCTGTCGAACGAGATCGATGCCAGTCTTCCAACGTCTTTCGTTACGCGTCTCCCATACAGCGTGTTTCTGATTAATTGGCTTCTCAAGGTCATTGAAGAGCGCAACCGTTATCTTGATTCTCGTTACATCGTCGATACGAAATGACAAGATAATTTAAAATTTCATAAATAATTTAAAAGGTTCGTCTCTTCTTTTTCACGGTTCTCGTGCGCCGTTATTTCCATGCATTTCGTCGAAGAGCAAGAGACAAGTGGAAGCTCGTAGACACGCGTTTTCTTGAAAACGTGTCTGAGAATGGTCGTTGCGAAAGGGGCTAGCTTAAAAAACGTGGAGGGAGCAGCTGGTGAAGTGACCTTGAGCGGCCAATTGACTCGCAGCAAACTATAGCAAGAAAGTGTATAATTGAGACGAGTGGCTCGTTATTCGGTGAAGTGTGGCCGAATATCCTTGCCACTCGACTCGCCGCAACTAGTTCTAGGTTAAGGACTGCTGTCGCATAAATGACATCGCGCGGATTCTTGATAATGAACTATTTGCAGAATCTAGGCCCGTCAGCTGGGAGAATTGGTGGACCTATGACGGTATTTCCGGTAAGGAATCCCATGCTCGTATCAATTAACCGAAACATACTCGCCATCCATTCCATCGATCGCAACCATTCTTTGCTTCCGACCAGTCTCTTCGCCTTCTAGCCAACGTTTCCATCCGACCGTTCTCCCTCGCTCACACTCCAATCATTTCTCTTCCCAATCTCCCCCAATTCCACCTAACGAAAGAACGCTTTCGCATTTCTCACCCCATAAAGAACGAGAGACATGTCTGAGCAGCTCTAAACGTGAAAACCAGCGGGACATATTTCGCCTACGCTGTTTCACCCAAGTGTCTTCCAATCTCTCTGAAAAGAAAGACACTTTCCTCGCTTTCATCCGTTCCATGATACACCAGGCACCCTTCCAAACTCTGCCAAACGTGAAAACCCGCCCATACAGCCATCTAACGGCCCAGCCAAACCTTTCGATCTAGTGGAATCGTAAACTCCCCTTGCCCAAATAATTTCACGCCACCCCTTCCTCTCCCTCCGACCATCCTGTAGCTGCTAATCCCGGGGCTTAGCGTGGCGGAAAGTTCTTCCAGAGGTGGTTAGTTGGTCTCGTGGGTGGGCGCGTTAATCGATGCTCGAAAGTCGCGTTCGACGTGTCGTTTAATCGGCTCGGCTTCGAAGGTCCTGGCTTCTGGGGTCTCATCAATCCGGATTGGTGGCTGTGTCACAAGGGCAGACGGCAATCGCCGGTGAACCTGGAGCCTTCCAGGCTCCTCTTCGACCCGAACCTACAGCCTCTGCACGTGGACAAGCACAAGGTCGGCGGTGTACTGGCCAACACTGGCCACAGCGTCGCGTTCGCCGTGGACAACGACACGCGGCACCCTGTGAACATCTCTGGGGGCCCGCTCAGCTATCGGTACCAGTTCCACGAGATCCATCTGCACTTCGGGTCGAACGAACAGATCGGTAGCGAGCACACCGTGGACGGACACGCGTTCCCAGCGGAGGTGAGTGCCGTTTCCGAGCTCACGTATTTCGCATGTTTGCGGTATGGTGGCGCTAGTGTTTACCGAGAGCCACGGAGGGTCTAGTCCCAAGACCGTCCAGCCTTATCAGCTCGCCTGGCGAATCGAGTTTCACTTGTTTCCTTTATCTAGGCGGGTCGAGTCCGCGAGATTTACCTTGGAAATTGGCTGGCGAAATGACCACCGCGTAATAGCCTCGTCTTTTTAACGGTATAACTACCGACTTTGAATGCGTACCTAAATCTAACATGTACAGACAATGTAATTGAAGTAGTACGATGAAAATGAATAAGTATATGTATTACGTAAATTAATATTGACTTTACCAGAAGTACTTGTATATCTTCGGTAACTTCTCTGGACTCCTCGGGTAGTTTTGGTGTTAACAGAGTTAGGTTAGGGTGCGCACATTCTCGTTAATAGCTGAAATCGTGGAATTGATAAATCGGATTACACAGCAGGGCACATTATCGGAGTACATTAATCATTAACACGGTATAAAAATCACAATTACATAATTATATTTTTATTTGTAACGTAAATTAATATTGACTTTACCAGAAGTAGCTATACACCTTCAGTATGTAAGTAGTCCTAAAAGAAAAAGAAAATTATTAGTATATAATTAAATATAGGCACAATAATTATTTATTAAATAATACCTTTGGACTCCTTGCGTAGTCTTGGTGTTAACAGAGTTAGGTTAGGGTGCGCACATTCTCGTTACTACCTGAAATCGAATTGATAAATTAGATTATAATATAAAAATCACGACAATGTTATTTATCTTACTACATTACCAGGTTGTATTACCAGGGACTAAAACGTGACCTAAAATAGTAAAAATATCAAAATTAGAGTCTCATCCTTTTATCTCATTTTACAAGTCAGTTTTTCCGTACACAACAGACGGGTGAGGTTAAGCCACGGTTGGAAAAGCTGCAGGAATAAAAAGTCAAGATTTTGTCATGTTTAATGAAATTAACTGATAAAATGGCAACAGTGCAATTTATTCTGCTTATCGCTCCCTCTTAATTACGAACTGGGGAGTCGTTGCTATTCAAATTGGATTTTAAATACAATTTATATCTTGTTTTAAATTTTAACCCGAATCTAATTCAAATTTTCTCGCGGTGTCCCCTGGGTGACGCTAATTGGCTGAGCGCGAAATTCAGCAACCCTGCACACATATAATCTGCGAATTTTGTTATAAATTAACGCTGCTAATGAACAATGACCGCCAATTTATTATTAGGTTACGCGGGTAACTCGATAATGTAAGAAATAAACGCGGATCCATGGCAACCATGTGAGAGATTATCGTTTCCATTCGGACCCCCACTCAATTTCGGAAGCTGAAAGGCGCGAAATTCGATTCACGCGGGCACGGGAAACAAGCGGAGCTCGATTCAAATTTCTCAAAGCTGATCGTTGTAGAATTTCGAGGTGCCGAACTCGAAACAACGATGAATCGTGTCCCAAGTAATAATAAAATCCGGAACGGTGTTCCGCGTGAAATATCGTCGAGGTTAAGGACTTTTGCATGTTTATTGCATATCTATAGCGGTGTATATCCCCAGAGGAGTTGCGGCAGTGGTAGAATGGAGGATGTTAAGTTTATCGTACTATACCAGAAATTTCGTATTCATAGTACCATAGTGATGAATCTTCAAAGAAGTAGAACTTAATGAAAACCGAGTCACGAAGTAACAGCGAGCTGAACTGAAGAATCTTCGTCAAACGGAATAAAAAATTGAATCTGAAACGAAATTAAAAATGAATTCCCTGGAAAATTAAGTTCGACGGTACAGTGGAACGTCGAGTATATCGAATTTTGATTATCCCAATGTAGAAACTGTATAATGCATTACACTGCATTACACTGCATTACATTGCATTATACATATACAGTATATTCGGCTTATATATAATTTATTTCCTATCCTGTACCTTTCTTTTGAAAAATGCAATACCTTGCGAGGTAAAAGTGTTTACTTTCCACTTGATTTAAAACATAATTCCAAATTTGCTTTCTCCAGGCCGATTATTGCTAAAATCCGATTAGCCGAACAGATTCTTCCCCCAAATTAATCCGGATAATCGACATTCCACTGTCGAATGAAGGGCCAAGAAAAATGCCAGAACGGGGGTGTCCCTGGAACAAAGAAGATCCCGAAATGAAATCGGAGGTGTTTCAGAAAAATAGGGATACGAATAAAAAGAAATCGGTGTTACCTTGAAAAGCTTGAACGTCGACTTCTTTGCTCCATCGACTTGCCTTCGCTAATCCATGGATCGAGTGGCCGACACTATCGGCCCCTATCAGCAGCCTAGCCCCGCAGACGTCCGATTATCGATCTCTCCCGATACGTATCCGGACGTCTATCTAGATTCTTATGCTCGTCGATTAGAGAAGAACGACTTTTATTCACTTGATCACGTAACTGGAACTGATTAACGTGAAAGCACCTCTATTTTTTCTTCTCCTCTATTTTTCTTTCTTTCCTCCTTTTTTCCCTCCCCTCTTCCACCCCCTGCTCCTTGTTCGAAGTATTAATCTTCGAACTGGGTCAGAACTAGCGAACTGGGTTACCGGTATAGAATCGCGATATACGTTGTGGCCCGTGAAAACGTATAGCTTTTAACAGTTTGCGGATTGCTACATCCACGCGGAAAGTTGGCCGACACGGAATTTGAAAAAATTATGAAACTTTCCCAATATGGCGCGGTTTATACCTCGACCTGTTCCTATCCGCCAAACTCCGCGACGATTTCACGCGATTTTAATCTCGAATTATCCTTTATCCGCCACCAGGGGAACCCCGGCCGCCGAGAATCGGCGGGAAATTTCGAAATTTCCCTGCGCCCGATTATCTCGCGGAATATTCCGTCGCGCTCGCTCGGGGTGGCGCGAGATCGATCGAAACGGCGGGATTCGATTGCGGAAAGTTCGTTTGCGGGGCGGAAGAAATAATCCGCTATAAATAACGGGGAAAAATATTCGACGGAGGCGTGCGTCGAAGAGCAGCGGAGAATCGGGTGCTGGGAGGGTGGCGAAATAAAATCGAACAATGAAAGCTTAATGCGCGTTCATACGATGGCACTACGTTCATATTCATTTTCGCGCTTGCGAACGACAAAGAGAAATAAAATCGGGGAATATGTAAATAGATAAAATCACAGGTCATCGATGGGTTATTGTTCGGCAGGTTTATGACTTTTATGACGCGACAACTGCGTCGGAGATTCGTCAGTGGTTAAGGGTTTCAACGCTTTAGTCTTAAGTGGGACAAATCCTCTTAAAACTTGCCGAGAGCTTAAACTGTTCGAGTCCGACAGGAGCATCCATATCTCTGTCAAAGCAAATGGATCCTTTGAAGATTATGCCAAGATCCTTCAAAATATTTAAATACCTCGTTGTGTCGTGTGATTCTATAAAAGTTTCGTGACTCGTAACAACGTCCACTAAAAATTGCTCGTCGGATCTATTCTTGTCTCGAATTTCTCAAAGACTCTATAATACTATGCATTATAATACAGCAAAATGGAGTCACTCAACGTTTCCTATTCGTTACTTGTTACTCGACTGTATCAAAACTCTGTCAGGTTACTAAACTGTCAGGTGATTGAAAATTAATTAACTCCATTGCACTGCTGATTCTATGACACATACAAATATATCTCAAATAACAAAACATAACTGGTACTTGGATATTAATTTACTCGCAGATTTTCTATATAAAGTCCACGATTTTTGATAATATTATAATACAATAAGTCGACTCTCGAGTTCAAAGGGTTAGCTTAAAACTTAAAACTATTAAAAAGACCAGTCATGCTGCTCAAAATATTTAAAAGCTTTTCGAGACTTTGTACTATACTTATCAAGCTACTCAGAGCTACGCCATCAGGCTACTCGCTTTTCAAACCGTTCAATAATTCCATTTGGCCATTCGTGCCCTAAATTACCCATAAACTCCGTCCTACGACCCTCTCCCCTATTTTCCAATAATCCATCGCAGAAGCAGTCTTTAAAGCTACTACCAAACCCCCGCACTATGTTGCCCGACCCTCGCAACAACTCACTTCGCTGCTCGCACCTTTCGCCAAACAATAATCCAATTTCCCATTTCTGTCCGAAAACAGCTGCAGATATTCGGCTTCAACTCGCAACTCTACAACAACTTCTCGGACGCGCTGCAACGGGCGCAGGGGATCGTGGCTGTGTCCCTCCTTCTCCAGGTACACGCCTAATCTCTCTTCGACGTTATATTCTACGCCTCCCGTGCGAAAGATCAGGCTGGCCGGAGACGTAAAGCGATCGCAGTAAGCGATACCCGATAGATACACCCTGTGCTGGTTGCCTTTCAGGTTGGAGACCTCTCGAACCCGGCCCTGCGAATATTCACCGAAGAGCTGGATAAGATCAGATACGGAGGTGAGACCACCAGTAATTTAATACACCCAGCCGGACTCGAATTTCTCGAGGAAATCGAGTTTCCACGCTGCTCGCGATACACTGGGTGTGCCTGAAACGCGTTTGATCGAGCCCCGCGATACTCACGGCGAGTTTCTGTGACGGTTTTGTCGTACGACGCCTTAATTAGCGGACATTCTTTTAATTGGCTGGTTAAGAGGCACGAAGATAAACGTCGCCTTTTAAATTGCTTCTAAATTGGTCCATATTACGAGATAGTCCGGTTCCCAGGGACGGGGGTTATCCAAAAGCGAATTCAGTCATGGAGTATGCAGTGCTAAGAGTGGAAACTCGGACGCGAGAATCTGTACTTCGAGAAATTGGAGATTAATTCTGAGAATTCGATGTGTTTCGTCTCTTCTGGGCTTCGTGAACGTTTCGTGAACATCGTCCAATGATATTTGACGTGATATTTCGTTGGTAGAGTCGGTTCTGATCAAATCGTTTCAAGGAACACCCTTTAAGGTTAACTCGATTACGTTTGATCTTCGACTGATTAAGATCAAATCGTACAGATTACTTAATTGTGTTTAACAGAGCATTTGCGCAGCTGGGAAGTATATTCTTTAAAAGGATACGCTTAAAATTGGCTGCTGGAAGCTTCTGTTTTAAACGGAAGAATATAATTATAAAATTTGTTTTAAACTGTTACACCTGGAATTACTTCTAAGTTAAATTTAAAAGAGGATAAAAGCCTGTTACAATAAGAACGGTTAAATAGCAGTTTTAACTTGGTTTGCAGATTCGTAATTACATGAAATTTGCTTAAAAGAGAAAAGTGAAACTCGAATAGGATTTTTAAACTTGTTTGCAATTTTTCAACGTTTTCTTACGGCTCCCTGTTAAAGATAATTTGTAGAGACAAATTAACGTCACTGATAAGCAGCTACAACTTACGAAAGGAAAGAGTTGATTTAAAGAAAGAGACTCGTGAATAAGGAATTTTAAGTACCTCTTGACAGGAGGAAACGACATCTATGATCACGTATGACGCTTGAAAGTAAGCTCTGCGTTATCTTGCACTACCCTCGCGCCATCTGCCAAGGATTAATTGCGTCATTAGATTCGGAAGAATTTTCGCGTCTGTTCGTATAATCGGTGAAAGATAGAAACCTGACTTAACCTTTCGCTTTTATTATATCTCTGCTTTCGTCCTCAGAGGCTGTTATAAATATTTTGTAGCCCCATATGTGCAAAATGAACATATATTTCCATTCAAATAGACCCCGTCTGTCTAAATATCCAGTTTAAGAGCAGGACACGGGAGAGCTTAAAAAAAAAAAGAATTCTTTGAACATCAAATTGAACGTTAATAAGCCAAATGATTTCAGATATTAAATCTCACTTTATAGTCGTATTTTCAATTCAAATCGTTCCTCGCACAATCGCCGGTTCAAGTTGCCGTTTCCATGACGGTGAAATTAATTGCAAACTAATTGATCCCGATTGCCGAGAGAAAGGCTTCTTTTTCGGCGAAACACATCAAACGAAAACAGTAACGTGAACTGAAAATAGAAGAGACGAGGACTCTTCTCGGGGCGCATCAGCTAATTAAAGATATTGCTTGCTTCAAATGAAATCAGATGGGATGAACGCTTCACGACGGCCTCGAAAGAGGATTTTTCATCGATTATTTACACGATGTTCTGATGGGGAAACATTGGCGCACGCTGTTTGCATAATTAGTTGAGTCTTCGTTGGAAAAATTTAGTATAGGAAGAGCAAACACGCGAAATCATAAATAATTAACATTTCGTGTGCTATGGGCGTATAAACCGGTTGAATGAATGCATTGGCATGGAGCATAGACACGTGTATACATATAACATATGCATTCAGTGAAATCTCATCGGCATACGTCATGGAAATACACCTACAAAAAGATACAGACATTATTCGTGTTAACTTGGTTCCATATAGTACAGCGTTAAAGGAAAAGCTTAAATATACGTGTAATAGTTACCTGATAGTTGGTGCAGCACGTAAAGCAGCGGTAAATATGCTCGCAGCGATAGTCATCGCGAATCGCGTGTCACCTATAATAAGCATTTTGATTTAGAACATTAAGTACTCAAACGGTTAATATCACTCGCTAAAATAGTCGAACGTAATATCGGGAAAATCGTGTTTCGATTATTTGTCAATATTACGATCGATTTCATTCGAAATTACAGAGCCTTCGAAAGACTCTGTCAAAACGAATAAATCGAATGGAACTTTGACAAAATTGAAATCAAACATCCCTTAATAACGAATCGAAACTAAATTACCTTCAATTTCATCTTCTAAAGTCTCAGAGGTCCTTTTCGAACTGCAATCTCTCACATAACCTCGAAAGCACGTGCGGTATACCTGCCGAAAAGTCATCTGAAGGCGAATCCTTTCGTCGATCGAAGAACACGCTCGAGGCGCCCTCTGGATCGACGTTACCTTCGTAGCATATCGATCGAGAGAGTGCCTCAGGCTTTTTCGAACTTTTCTCTCGGCTATTAACGACACGAGGTATAAAAGTGTAATATCAGGCGTTAGAGGCGCGTGTTGAGGAACGTCCATGCTAATTGGGGTACGTATGCGCGTCACGGTGGCTGTCGGATCGTCACGTTATCGATCGAACCGATTGCACGCAGGCCAGGCGATGGAGATTAAACGTTTCGTGGTGCGGGAACTGCTGCCGGACACGAAATATTACATGACGTACGACGGCTCCATCACGATGCCGGCTTGCCACGAGACCACCACGTGGATCATCTTGAACAAGCCAATATACATCACACAGCAGCAGGTGAGGAAGAAATCTTCTTAAACGTATGCATATTAGTATATATGTATATACATCTATAGATGGTATAATGATCTTGAAATTATTTTTACATTTTCTGCTTCATTTTTTCTTCTTTTCTTTTTCAATTAACACTGGACCTACTACAGCTCTAATATATCAAAATAAATCTCGCGAAAATAAGTAACCGAAGCGACAACGTTGAGTGCGAAATTTTTAATTAAAAATTCAAAATCACGGTATTAAAGCAATTTCGTATCGTTTAAGAAAAGGAAATTTAAGAATAATGGAATACACAATTGAATTGGAGAAAATTTTGAATGGAACGAAGAGATAATCTGTTGGAGTTGGATTTTTAGGTTATCTTTCTTCGCTATTTTCCCACGTCGTTTCGTTATCTCATAGAATAGCGTAATCTTGCGTCACTGGTAAGGAATGTGTCGGTATCAAGCTGCAGCTGCTGAATATCGACCGTCGCTTTGGCCCCTTATGAGAAATTACGTTGATCCGGTCAACTTTGAACTCTCTGTAGGTAGCTATGCAGCTTCTCCTGATCTCCGTTCCCTATGACTACGAATAAGGGGCAGTTTGCGACTGTTCTATGACCGGCTTCGAGTTCACCTGAGGAGGTTTGCGTTCTATAGCGCGATTGTTGGAGCATTCGGTATGAATAGGTGCTCTTGGATCTTACGATAACCCTCGAGTGTTGGAAATACTTGATTGGTTGTTCGTTTCGCGAAGTGAGGTTAGGTCGGCTGACGTTAAAGAAACTGTTGGCGTGCGACAGTCGTTACGAACAATTTATCGAAATATTCACTTTCGATTCTCATTCGACGATCGTAAATTACAACGATCGAGAGAATTCGAGGCGAAACGAAGAAATATGTGGCGCCTGGTTAACTCGATATCTAGTTTCCTTTGCTTTCTTCCACTTTCGTAACAATCGAAAGACTCACCGTGTAATCGTCCAGAGATCTGGAATTTTATTTCGTTTCCATGGTCGTCACTGACGAAACTCGTATCCGAGTTGGGACGACTTGAAGAATCGCAGTAACTCACGCACGAAAGCAGTTTCTGATGTTCTTTTAACGATTTCGCGTGGCCAATGGCGAACCATAATCTCGCCAGCATGTAGCACGCACGGCCCGGGGAAATTGGTTTACGTGGGTTCTTTATCGTCTCGAGATCACGCTTTGATGTCTTAATGCGTTTTTTTTTTTGCTCCCGTGCTTGCTGCTTTGTTCCTTTTATATTTCCTTTAGGGACGGGCGATACGGTTTGGCAAATTACATCGGCGAATAATGGAATAAAGATCGGGTTTCGCGAGCGTCGATTAAAATCGAGACAACGGTGTTTAATGGACAGCTTCGTGGCGTCGATCCTTTTTTCCTTTAATTCGATCGCGGCGGAGACAATTAGGTTAGGCGGAAGTCTCTCCGTCCATCTTCTTACATAGTTCTCGTGGCATTTATGAGTTTGTGTAATTATAAGGATTACTTGCAAGTGTTATTCCATTCTTTAGCAGTCATATCTCGATTTAAATCTTTCTATCTATCAAATATCCATTCTTCAACACATTCTGACAAAACACCACGACAATCAAACCCACTTATCTCTGAATCTTCGAAATTACCAACAACATTAAAATCTCTTCTTTCTTCTTTCAAATATACGTCCAAGTATATACAAATTCTAAACATTTCTAATAAGAAATACACGACTTAAGCCACTTCCGCGAGCACTAGCGTTCCGCTAAGCGGCCATCTTCGATCTACCGACGCGCCATCTGCCCCGTCCATCGTCCGCCATTTTCTCCCGTTCAGCGACGCGCTGGCCGATCTCGATCGCGCTTCTCGGTGCGTAATTCCATAGAACAACCCGACATCGTGGCGTTCTCATACATGGTGTAACGGATATATCCGGCGTCGGATCAATCAGTCAAATGGGATCGTTCGCATCGGCCGTGGTTCTCGCTTGCGTCGTTGTAAAATCGGGAAAAGCGGAAACGGAACGCCGTTCGTCCCTTTCGTGTCTCGCGTGTTCCCGTCGCCTTTCGCGTACTTTAATATTACCAGCGAATCGGGAATCGATGCGTCGCGTATTATCGTCTGGAAATTCGTTCGCATCGGTACACGGGGGCTACAGGGGTGTTTGAAAAGGTCGAAGAAAGGGGAGGGGGCGAGGGGAAGAAACAAACGCGTGCAAACAGCGTCTCAGACGCGGATAACGGACCGGGGTCTATTGACTTCCGGCGGAAACGTCGCTTTGCCGGCCGAACGATTCCGAATTGGCCTCTTTAGAAGCAGAGAATTAATCTCGATACGCCGGTGTACGAGATATGATTTTAATTCCGCTGACTGGGATAGAGCGCTCGATATATTCGATATAAAATGGCGCTTTGTCGAGGGGCAGGGTGGAAGAATGGGGCAGCGAAATTCGTTTTTTAATAGAGAGTCTGTTATCCGAGGGGCGGGGAGAGCAAATTGTGTTTGGAGGTGGGTAGTTCGGTGATTAAAAATATATCTGTTGTTCCAGGTAATAAGCCGCGGTATTATCTAGAATTTTATACGACTGTAGATAGCTATTCCACCGATGGGAATGAATTTCTCTTTTTTTCTAATTGAGCGTTTAAATCTTTTATTCCGAGTACAAAAGTATCGAGTTTCGGTGAAAATTTCGGCTATTGTCGGGGTTGGAAAATTAATTCTATTGTAGCTTGAAATATTTATAGTAGGAGATCGCGTTAATTGATTAAAAATTTAATTTTTAAATATTTTCTCTTTTGAAAGGAAAAAAAACGAGGGTTCCGAAAATAGCAAGTATCTCCGATATTTCGCGATATTTTGTATCGGGAAAAATTCAACGTCGAGTCTAGGGATATTCCAATTTAACGGGGGGGAAAAAATCAGAATTTTTCTCTCAATAATCGTCCATTAAAAAATTTCCAAGTATTACCCGTTTTCATTGGCGATTAAAATAACCTACTCTTGTAATTCATTCTAAATTCATATAATTTTGAAAAATACACGCAATTTTTCGAATTTAAATTCGTACTAAAATTCGTAATCCTGCATTTTGAAATACCCTGTCACAAAACGTGCTCGATACATGCTTCGAAAACAAACAAACAACAGATAACGATATCTCGAAACGACGTCGATAAACTTTCGACATCTTTCAGGATTGTGAGGTTATCGACGCGAAATTGTTTCTCGGAAAACAGCGTGTGTACGCGCTGTTCATTTATTTACATAGAAAGGAGGAAAAATTCGATAAAGATATATCTCGAGAGCAGTAAGTTTTGGGACAAATGTATCTCTCGATACTGCCATAAATAATACTTTCTCTTACATTTCTCTCGAACAACACCCTTCTTTCTCCAATGAAAATATCGCATTGGCAGCCTCGTGAACCAGAAACTCCTTGATACTCTACGACATGTCAAAGTCTAGCAACAGTATTTCACGATATTTACTCGCAAATATACGTACGTAACGTGTCTTCAAAAATATTTCACCGAGGGGATGAACAAAATCGAACATCTCCAAGCTAACGTCTATTTCACTCTGAATTTCACTCTGAAGCTATCAACCTACATCGAATCCCTAAAAATATATCACACAAGAGTGTTAATAGTTAACCCTTTCGATTCTACGGGTGCTTATAGTCGCTGGGCACAAAAATTGAGCCAAAAATTAAGACAAGTGCTATCATTTTGCTCAGCTCTCTTCGCAAAGAATTGCAAACGCTATTGCGATGTTCGGTTTTCCTTTTTCTTCTTTCTTTTTCTTCAAAATGCTAAGGATTGTTGTTTGAAATGTTTCCACCTTTGACATGGCGCTCTGTTCTATGGCAGGAACTCCGCAGCGACACCTTCCTAGCGAAAGGGTGAAACCGATACAACTATACTTGCCCCTCTGCCAACATAAATTCGAAATTAATTCGAAAAAATATCCAAACCCTAAAAATTTCAATCCCTGCTGCACACGTGCTATCAAACGAACCTTGCAACTGGAAAATGAGTCGAGCAACGGGTGAAAATAAATTTGGAAAACAGAAAATAGCCAGTAAAGGATCGCAGGGATGTGGCTCGCGAGGGATCTTGGAGTAAAACGCGGCGAACGAGGATCAAACGGTATGAAACCACGTAAAACGAGAAAAACAGAGGGAATGCAATCAACGTGCGCGACTGTTGCAAAGTAGGGGGAAAAGGGAAAACGGGGGAAGTTGGATGATCGAGAACTGCATGTGGAAAGTTTCGAGGGGAAACTAATTTATTCGCGCGATATCGAGGGTGCGCGAGGGTGGGCGTTGATCGATGATTTAACAGGCACTTTTCGCGGGATGATTTACGTATACCGGGTGGCGGGATGCATTTTAATAAAATTTATCGGGGACAGCGACGGTGGCGTGCGAGGAATTATACTTGCTAAAGCAGAGCGTGGAGATTCCGCGGCTAGTATTTTTCGGGGCAAGTTAGCCGGGGACGACATCAAAGGGATGCAAAATAACCGGCACACAGGTTCGCACACAGGCACGCAACGTATTACTCGTTACCCCGAAAAAATCCGACGGGGAAACCACTGGTGCACGCGGTGTATCGAATATTCTAAAGCTTATCCCGCCTCCGTGGTCCTCCATTAGAGCGAAAAGAGCAGCTGATGTCGGCGCGCCGATTATCAGCCGCTACTGTATTTTCCAACCTGATTTTTCCGATACCGATACGTACAGGCAACGAAGTGTCTCGATTTTTCGCCGACTTTTCGCCGGGTTTTTGGGCTCCGTGCACTGGCCGAGGATTAGGGGTGATTATACCTACCCACACGCCGGATATTAATTCCGTGCCCCTTCATTTTGGTTTTTTTTAAGCAACGAGACTGAATGAACGATAAAAATTGTGGAGACTGTTGGCTGAAAGTGGGTCGATTAAAATTGGTGTTCTTAATTAATTACCGGTTAATCTTGGTGGACATAATTTCCAAAATTATACGTGATTGTTGATGTATCATCCCTTAGAAAGAGTTGTAATATTGTTAATCAATTACTTTTCAATTAAACTTATTATCATTCCCTAAAAAGAGAAGAAGTGTTAATTACTTACTTATTAATCTTGATAAACGCAATTTCCAAAATTATACGTCATTGTAGATGTATCATCCCTTAAAAGCAGTTGCAAAGTTGTTAATTAATTGCTTGTTAATCAAACTCGTCTTCATCCCCTAAAAAGAAAAGAATTGTAATATTATTAATTAATTATTTTTCAATTAAACTTATTATCATTCCCTAAAAAGAGAAGAAGTGTTAATTACTTACTTATTAATCTTGGTAAACGTAATTTCCAAAATTATACGTCATTGTACATGTATCATCCCTTAAAAGCAGTTGCAACGTTGTTAATTAATTGCTTGTTAATCAAACTAGTCATCATCCCCTAAAAAGAAAAGAGTTGTAATATTATTAATCAATTATTTTTCAATTAAACTTATTATCATTCCCTAAAAAGAGAAGAAGTGTTAATTACTTACTTATTAATCTTGGTAAACGTAATTTCCAAAATTATATGTCACTGTAAATCTATCATCCCTTAAAAGGAGTTGCAACGTTATTAATTAATTGCTTGTTAATCAAACTTGTCGTCGTCCCCTAAAAAGAAAAGAGTTATGGTAATAAGTGTTAATTATTTGGAAATTTTGTATCTCTCTCTCCCTATCCTTTTAGGTCTTTTAAGTTCTCTTACCTGCACTGATCTTTTCGTTCCTTTAACCTCCCTTGAACTTCTTCCATTCCTTTTTCTTCTCTCATTTCGAAGTTAAATTGGGAAGAGAAGGATGGCCAGCAGTAATCAATGAATCAGAAGCGAAGATGAACTTTGAAATTTGTTAATCGGGCATGAATTTTGGTGAATTTTTTTTCATCGAATTAATCGCTGATCTATCCACCGGAAGTTGGATGAAAATTTCAGTTCTCTAGACTCTGAGAATTTTTTATTCCACCAATCAGCGACTCCAATATTTCGCAATGAGAAACTTCTTGAAGCCAAAACTTTCTTCCTAAAAAATGTAAAAGAGAAAAATTATGCAGTAATTATATATATTATTTAAGTAAGGTTGTACGAACAGTGATATACAGGGTGTCCCGCGTTACACGTTGAAATTATGAAATACTTTTATTCCACTGTGTACCCAATCGAAAACTGATCGATTTTTGTTTGTAACATTATTCTTAAAAATGGTGGAAATAGTTACGTGGGACACCCTGTATATATGAAAGGGAAGGACAACTCGAAGCAACAAGAAAAAATTAAAAAATGGCGACTCTGATTTTTTCACTTTCTTTTTAAGTAGGTAGAAGAAATGCGAATCTTTGAATAATTCTGGTAGAAAGACTTTCTTTTGAAAAAAATTGAAAATTGAAAATTTTGTTGACCCTATATAATTGAAGACACTTTAAGCCTACGATAATACACTTCCTTCTGAAAAAGATTGAAAACGCCCATTACGAACGATCCAATTTCGATATCTCGACATACTAATCGCCACAAAATTTTACATCACGCGTCTCTGTATTCGAACACGAACCCCAGGATTAATTCTGAAAATCTAACGTAATTCCGAAAAATTACCCGCAATATTGCACAGTTATAAGTGTGCAAGTAGAAACATACGAAATTACTCGTACACTAGTGTTGCACGATTTTTCATCTGTATCCCACTGGATACAGCGAAGGACGAATTGGAGATCGCGAATGTGTCTGCAGTAGTGCATAGTTGACTGTAAATAATTGAAATACGACAGGGACGAGCAGGTGTTGTGAAATGTTGGCAGGAAAAGTGAGGGAGCCGATATCTGTGAGAGGCGTTCTAGCTCAGCCATCGAAGACCTTAACTTCCAAGCTATTAAGCTGTTACGAAGGAAAGGTCGTCTCGAAAGAGCAGAATGCAAAGGCGACAAGAACAAGGACTAGGTTGTAGTTTCTGAAAATTGAGCAGTCGATAAATCAATATCTATAATGGGCGTTCTGTTGTAGCTGTTGCCTTATGGAGACCATTAAGGACATTAAGCCATTATGGAATGCAAAGACGATAAAGAACAGGGTGTCATGTTTAGTTCGTTTTCACCCCTCGATAATTCGTACGATTTTAACGATATTAACTTGCACTTTAAGTTTAATAGAGAGGTCGAGTTTCGCGTTACTACACCGGGTGGTATATTTTTGGTACTTCGAGAGGATTCGGTGCCAGTGAAATTTATTTTTGAACCGATATTAAAATTGTTCATTGCTTGAGCGAGAGAAGCTAATTTTTCATTGGTCTGGTCGATGATTTCCGATAGCAAATTAATATTTCAGATTAAGTTGTACGAAATATCAAGGAGTGACAATTTTCACCTTATCGTCTTTTTCTGATAATAAAAATCTCTAATTATACAGCTTTCCAAGCCCTCAATAGCTTTGGCAAAAATGGTAATTGGAGAAAGAAAAAAATTCCAAATTTGTTCCATCCATCGATGAAAAATAGAAAACAGGTCATCTTATCACGTTCATCTGTGATTATAATCTCCCAATAATTTGACGAAAAATAGGTCCACAAAAAAATAAAAAGAAAGAAAATTCAATGCACTATATACAACACTCGTTCGGAAATCTCAAATTGTTCTAAATTAATAGAAATCTCTAATCATAGACCTTTCCAAACCCTTGTTATAGCCAAACTAAAAATAATAATCAAAGACAGAAAAAGATTCCAATTTTGTACCATCCTTCTATCAAAAATAGAAAACAGAGAAATCGAGGTATCAAATTCGTCTAAGACCATAGTCTTGCAATAATTTAATAAAAACTGGACTCGCAGCTAAAAATAAAAAAGACAGAAATCTCAATACACAATATACAATACACATTTAAAATCATACCCTCTCGTTTCGTAAAGTCTTGCGATAATTTAAGAAAAAATGGCCTCATATCCAAAAATACAAAAAAAAAAGAAAAAGAAAACTCGATGTAGAATAAACAATACTACTTCGCAAGGCTTGTCTATTCAGAGCCGTCGAGGTATTAATCTTTACTCGACTAAAGAGGGGAAGTAAAGGTAGAAAGATCGGAAAGAGTAGGTAAAGACGTAGGGTATGAAACAAGAAGGGTGGCATAATATTCACTCGATTCGTTGCAGCTTATCGCGCTGCGACAATTGATGCAAGGGGACAAGGGCGAGCTGAACGCGCCGCTTGGGAATAATTTCAGACCGCCCCAGCCGCTTCATCATCGTCCCGTTCGAACGAACATCGACTTCAACGTTCAGGTAACGCGACTCCCGCCACTGTACACGAGCTTTGAACCGCACGATAACCTGGTATAATTGTCTGGAAACTTTTTACTCTTCAGGGACGGAAGAACTGTCCGACGATGAATAGGGACATATACTACAAAGGTATGAAAAGCTGTTCCCGCCACGCTTCCACGTGAAATGGGAAAAGTTCGTTCGGATACAAAGCTCCAACGGCTGTTGCGCGCTCGTTTGTCGACTAATTTTCCATGGTTCCGCAAAAATGGCCACCGAGTTGCACGTTTTGTTCTCGGCCACTGATAACGGCTGTTGATGGGAATGGTAATGGTATGATAGTAGGGACATTGCGGTAGATTCACGCGCAGGCCACTGTCCGAGTGTTTCATATCGGCCTGCTAGGAATTAAATGGCATTGGTATCAAAGTTTTCCATCTGGAACGGAAGGTAACGGACCATTTTTCATTCCGAGGAGAGTTGTATCTCTATTGTAATGTGTTATTCAGGGAGCATATCGTGGTAAAAGTAGAAGAAACTAATGAGACAATAGTCTCTATCCAAGTGACAGAGAATGGCCCCTGTCAATGGGGCTTTATGAAGATAGTAGGAATTTGGGGAAATTGAATGGGGGAATTTAATTTTATAACTTTATTCGTTATTTCTATTCGGGTCAGATGTCGTTTAACTGATCTAGTTCAATTTAAATTCTCTAGTCTAGTTTATGTATTCCAATGGACTTAACCTAAAAAATTCGCAAACAATGGGAACGACATGACGAAATTGCATCGTGTTATTTTATTGCGATAAAAATAGGAACTGGTAAGACAATGGCCCTTGTCCGAATGACAGAAAATAGCCCCTGACAATGGGGCTTTATGAAGATAGTAGAAATTCTGAGAAATTGAATAAGGGAATTTAATTGTATAACTTTCTTCGTTACTTTTACTCGCTACGGACACCATTTCCCTCAACTGATCTAGTTTAACTGAAATTCACTCATCTAGTTTGCGTATTCCAATGGACTTAACCTAAAAAAGACTCCTAAACGACGGGAACGATTTGACGAAGCTGCATCGTGTTATTTCTATTGTCTATTGCAGCAAACAGCTGGAAATAACCCTGTGGCGAGTTATGGGAGCGGCTGGAGGTGAACTACGCTTTCCCTGGAACAAGCTGGAGCCACGCAGTTAAGAGGATAAAAACCCACTGACATATCAATTAATGAGCGCGACCAGTGGCCATCGCGTCGATCTAATCGAGCAAGGGCCATCGTGGCGCGTATCGTTGAAAGGAAGAGCGAGAGAGGACGCGAGAGAGCGAGCGAAAGGGAGGGAGAGAAAGCGAGAGAGACCGAGAGCGAGCGTGTGAACAGAAGAGGCCAGAATGATGAAAGAAAGAGAAAAATAAGAAAAATGCTTCGTTGTACTATTAGACGTGAACTGCCAAGTATGTTTCCAGTAACGAGAAAAATGAAACACAAGAATACACAGTTACACACACAGGTACACTGAGAGACACGTACAGAAGATATACCTATATATAGATTACAATTTAGCGGAGATAAGGTAAAAAAAGAAAAAAAAAAAAAACGTAAGATTAACACAAGATATATTATTATACGTATATCGATCAACTATCGAAAAAGCTATGACTATCGTGGCCTGTGTTTTGGGGTCGTTGATAACGATGATGATCACGACGATGATGATAGGGTTAGGGATGGGAATAGAGACGAAAGACGCGAGATTCTATATGTATAAATGAAGAAAAAAAAAGAAAAAAAAAATACCAAAGATTTACGCGTGATCAAAGTTCACGTGTACACGCCCACTCGTATCACCACCTGCATATACATGAAAACATACGACATACATGCATACATACTATACATACTATACATATACACACACACATATCGAGCGAAAGTTTATACTATATTCTTGTAATAAAATGCTGAAAACGTAGACGGAAGTGGCGACATCGAAACCCTATCTTGCCCACACGGTTCAGCTATGTGAGTAATCCCATCGATCTGACCCGCATCCCTTTCCCAGTTCGTTTTACCGACTGTCACGGGGCTAGACCCTGTGAGCCTCGCAACCAGCGACACCAGTCGTGCGACCGAGACGCCACCACGATCGCAGCCTTGGTACTAGCAAATTACGCGCCAGTCGATAAATCAGAAATCTACCGTTCACGGAAGAACCAACAGAGCGACAGGGTAATCAACTTCGTAGGTCAAAATCGCAACTGAATATCGCGCTTCTGCCAGCGTCTCCGATTCACAGCCATTGCGTATCTCACGTTTAAGGTTAGGTTTCCAGGAATCATGGAAGCAAACCTGTCCGCCGATCCTCGCCATATTTTCCTCGCGATACGCGACTGACGAAAGCCGTAATACTTATCGAACTGGCGTCAACGCTTACTGGGTGGTTGTCACGAGCGCGATCTCGAGCGGAGAGGGGTCTAAAGGTTGTGGATAGTAGGCCTGGAGGGGGCGCTGGTGGGAGGGGAATGGGTTTCATTGAACCAGAATTCGACGGTGCTGCCCGCGGACGGTTATGCGGCAAGGGAGCCGAAAAGGGACAGCTACGGGTAACGAGAGAGCGAGAGGGCGGTGGAACGACGACCACCATGATGGGGGAAGAAGAAGGTGGGGGTTCTGACGGTAGAGGGGTTGAAAGGGCGAGAGAGGGGGAAGCGAGAAGAACAGACACGGGGATACGGAGGCACCGTGTCGCTGGCCTCTGCGGCAAATCTGCAGGTTTCGTGTGGCGTGTGTGTGGTGTACGATCACGGGGATTTTACGATTGCCACGGAGGCGTGCGACGTGTGGAAGAGAACGTGTTTTCCCGTGTACCCTGCGACTCTGGTGAAAATCGTAACGTGCACCGAACGTGTGCCCTTCTTTTACGTGCGCGTGCCTACGTGTGTGCGTGCGATCGTACTCGCCACCTCTTCTCGTGTGTCGTAGCGAGAACTTGGCCAGCTTGGGGGATGAAGATCTTCGATGGAGCGGCGCGGTCGCAGCATTCGTTCTCTCGCGTCGTTCCTTCGAGATTCGAGGCTAGCCAAGGAATAACTACAGAGCACCGATGAGGTGGAGGTTCGTCCTTATCCGCGAAAGGTCTCGCGCGACCGGATTGATTGATCGGCCGAGAGGATAATAGAAAAGAGCTCGTCGATGCCAGTCGACGACCCCGCGGACCAGGTGGGGGGTGTCCTCTCGTGAGAACGGGTGAATACACGTTCACGCGCCGCGAGGCTACGCGTGGAGAGGAAGCTGACAAGTGCACCGTGCCGTCTGTCTGTCCGTTTCTGCTCGTTTTTCTGCGGGCTTCGTTCGGGTTCAATCAATCAACCGTACACTTGCCTGCGATGTGTCTGTTCGCGTGATCATCCAGTTTGCTGCTGCTTTTGTCCCGTTCCATTTCCGTTCGAGCGAGCCGCTCCGACGACTCCTCTTTCTCTGGGCCAGGCATAAACAAAAGGACGAGGCTGGTCGGAGAGGACAAAGACGGAGCGAAGAGAGAGGACGAATGAAGCTGAGAAAGACGGACACAGTGGTACAGTGTGCTCCCTCGCGTTTAATTTTTCAACGAGCCAGTAAGCGGCGCCGCGATTGGTCAGGCCAGGCCGCGAGGAACGTACGGATTTTTCGTCGCGTCCGCAGATTCTCATGCAAGTACGTGGTATAAGCGAATTTGCCGCGGTCGATGCACTCGAAAGCTCGCTCAGGGGAGTCGAGTGACACGTACACGACACGTAGAGGACCGTGTGGCACAGTCGATTCGAGTAATCGAGCGTCGAATCGAGCGTCGAACCACAGCCTGGCCGCCCCTGGCTGCTAACGAACCCGTGTCAACCTAACCACCGTGTCTCCATAGTACGATGCAACTTTTCTCGCTTGCTTCCATCCTCTCTTCCACGCATCTTCGTGCAAGTCCTCTCATCTGCTCTGCCATTCGAGTCTGTCGGTTTGTTGCTGCTTTTCATCTGGCCTCTATCGAAATTCCGCGATATCGAGAGTTATTGGCCGGCTCCCAAGCGACTTTCTGACTAATTTATGATCGATATAAATTTCGCCGCGCATTACGCGGGTATACCATTAGCGTACGTCAGCAATTAATATGCCTTAGCGTGAGGCCGGAAGCGGCTGCGAGTATGCCCGTGGAATTTCCGCTTTTTATGTCTTCTTCCGTTTCTGAATCCCTCTTTCGTATCCTATGAAAAGCGAAATAGGAATATAACCTCTATACTGTTTAGGAGAAACGGGGAAAAAATGAATGTGGAGACAAAAGGAAACAGCGAAACTTTACACCCTCTTCCTCTTTTCTTTTCTCTCTCCCTGTTCTTCAATGAGATATCGCATTTCGCGGGAAACGTGCACGTAGACGTAAGAAAGGCTTACATAATTATCGCAGGACGCGGATTTGTTTTTGTTACAGATTAATCCTGCGGCCGGGGTTGTAATTGGAAAAGTGGGCCAGCGTGCACGGGCGGCGCGGCTTAATCAGAATGAAATCTAAGAAGTCCCGGGCAACAATGGCTTTGTGATGCCCGAAGGAGGACCGTCGGCGAAATGAAAGCCCCTGAGAAACAATGGAAGCGTCCACGCAGGCATGACGGCCCCATTCAGATTCGCAGACGGCATGCTTAGTGGCGGCCAAAGGAGACGCTCAAGTAAGAATAAGCCGAGCATCGTTAGACAGAGGGAGAAAGAGAGAGAGAAAGAGGGAAACCTCGCTTTCCCTTAGACACGATCGAATGCCATGACACCGTGCGCCACGGTGTCTGTTTCATACTTGCCAGATCATCCTCGTGCATGTTCATCGTTCCTCGTAAACAGAGTTTCCTTTTTCTTCTATTTAATAGTTTCTTACTTCCTTTTCCCTGAAATCAGTGAAACAGAGAGAAATCTTTCCTTCGGTAAAAGGGTACGTCGAAGGTTCCCAAATATTTATTTAATATTCCGCTTTACTCTTGCCAGATCATCCTCGTGCATGTTCATCGTTTCTCGTAAACAGAGTCTCGTTTCTCTTCCATTTAATCGCTTCTTACCCCCTTTCCCCTAAAATCAGCGTAACAACGTGTAATTCTTCCTCGAGTAAAAGGGGGACAGTGTTCCGAACGTTTTCAAATATTTATTTAGTATCCCAAAATTACCTTTCCGTCCTCGTTATATCGGGGTAGAGTCATGATCACTGGTGGGAAATAAAGGGGGCCGTACACCATGCGCCACGGTGTTTGCCGTTTTACTCTTACCAGATCATCCTCGTGCAGAGAGTCTCCTTTCTCTTCTATTTAATTGCTTCTTCCTCCCTTTTCCCTAAAATCAGTGAAATAAGTGTAATTTTTTCTGGGGCAAAAGGGGCACGGTGCTTCGAATGTTTTCAAATATTTATTTAATATTTTAAAATTACCTTTTCGTTATATCGGCGTAGAGTCGTGATCACTGGTGGGAAACAAAGGAGTCTGATATCGACAGCTTGACAGACGTTGAGAAATATTTATTCCGCCGGGTGACGAGTGTCGTTTCTTCCACAGTAGCTCCAAGACAGGGGCAGTTTGCGCGGCTGAAACTGATGTTGAGACGATTATCGGCAGATTCTATGCAACAAGGTGTTTTGATTTTAACGTCGGCTATTTTCGTGCCGGTTTTACGAGCAACATGTGCAGGTAATAAAAGACGAAAGTCCGGGATTCCGCGGATGATTCATTGATATCGTTATTCGCCGGGCTGCCCCCTTAATTTGATTCGCTTTCACGCTCGGCAACTTGGCTCGGCGGATGGGGCGCGGTATCGAACGACGAAACAACGTTTAAAACACTCCAGTGAACACTTACGCGAATTTCCATTTCAATTGCGTCGACATTAATATTCATAATCGTGTAAATAAATTAGCCAGCTGTGTTACCCATGTAAATGATTAAGTATTTATTAGGTGTGCTATTTCACGGTGCTCCGCGCTCGTTAATTATCTCGCGTTTAAGCGACTCAGAATTAAGTTCAAACCTCTGTTGTTCTCCAATTTTTTTTTATCGCAGAGGAGACGCACAATTTCTCACAATTTCATGAAGAATAAAAAAGAAAAAATCCGTAAATCCTCCGAAAAGATTTATGCTATATTACTACTATAATACATTGCGACACAATTCCTCAAAATTCCACGAAGAATAAAAAAGAAATCGAAGTGTCTCTTAGGAGTTCCACGTGCATACACGTTACAAAATCGTGCCACGTGGTAGAAACCTGAAAACCAAGCTCTACGTCCTAGCTCGAAATTGGCAATGGTGGGGGCGCGGCCTTCAGCGAGCGAAATCTTCGATCGAGGCTATAGAGAGAGCGTAATTGTCCTCCGAATGCCTCTAAATCGATTGTCAACGAGCGTGATCGATAAAGGGACAACGGTAATGCTTTTTAATCGGCCAGTCTTCGGCGATTGAGCATTAAGTGTCGGTTAGGAACTGATGAATGCGGGTGTTGTTCCGCCAACAGGCTACAATAACGCGCTAAGTAGCAACCGTTTGCCTCTAACGAGCGAACAGCGTCGCGGAGAGCGTGTTAATCCGGAAATTATCACGCGTAATTTTACGTGCTAACGCGAACGGGCCAAACGACGCGATACACGCGCGTTTCCAACCATGCTGAACGTGTGTCCGCGTGGCTTTAGGTCGTTCGAGCATCACGCCACCGACGTCCTGCCTTTTCCCAAAATCTTCCCCTCGCTCCTCTTTTCGCTTCCCCCACCGCTTCCATCGTTTCCACCCTCTGCTGTTCCACGCGAAAAACGCGAATCGGGCTCGTTAATTGGCCTCCTCGTTGGCCAGCAAGCGAGAGAACAGGTGGACGATGGAAATGAATAGAAACATCGAAGGGTCCTTTTCTCTCGCGTCTTCACCAAGAGTTCCGTTCGGCCTGTTTCGCGTCAGAGTCAACAGGTTCGAAATTGTTTTTAACTGTGCCGGAGAGAATGTTTCGGGATGCAGAATAATGCGAGCATATTGTACAAGGAACCACGCTTCCAACCCGTTTTCCTATCCTCCATATATACACACAAGGCTGACCTATTTCGATGCACACTGGGCTTCTGATTTTGGCCAAAGCCAGCTCGTTTTGGGACAGACTGAATATTCAAAGATCCATGCACAAGTTCTGCAAATGTGTTTGTTTATTTGCTCAGCGTCGATTTATGTTATCGTTAGCTATGATCGAGGAACTCGAGGGTGCCTGAGCTTCCGGCCATCAGACTTCCTCTTTAATATTCCAACGCTCCCCTGCACCTTCCACCCCATACATCCAATTCTTCGACACCGTGTAATATATTCGATAGGTACAGTCCCATTTCCGAAATTTATCCATCATGTGTATCGATTATACGATGACCTTTGGGGAATGATGCACGGATGGGCGGGAAGGGCAGGGGGAAATAACGAATGCAAATTCTCCTGCTTATGTACATTCGCAAGGGTGTGCGATACAGTGGGAGTGATCAGCACGCAGAAATTGGTCGCCAATCAAGCAGCTTCCGGGATACGTGTTCCACGGGCAACGAATAAAATGGGTCACCCGGTACACGCGAAGAAAAGTTCCAATTTGTATGATATATGCGCTCTGCTTTATTAGTCGTCGTCAATCAGGCCAAAAAGGTTGACCTGAAAATTAGATGCGGATATTAAGTGAACTAAAAGCATCGACTCTTGAAACATAACGCTAACTTGTGCGACTGACAATGGTCAAAACGCGTTGACTAGCTTACCTAAGAACATTGGTTCATGTTCGTTATATCGATCACTTTTTAGTGAGGAAATAAAGTTTGTTTAATTTAAAGATAATTTTGCCTTTCTCCAGATTTCTAATCGACGGAGGGTGAATCCAAGGGACGACTAGCAGCAGCTGAAGAGAAACGGACTGTGGCATGTCAGGGGCAGAGCAGTACTCTCTGCAAGGGCGCATCTTGCTAGCCCTCTTCTTCTTGATCGGCACGTTCACGTTACTCTCGAGAGCGGCCGCGTTCCCGGACTGGACTGACTGTCCAGCAGTATGCCGTTGCAAGTGGACATCCGGTAAAAAGTCTGCCTTATGCCCTGACGCCGGCCTAACCTCGCTCCCGGCCTCGTTGGACCCGGACATGCAGGTCCTCGACTTGTCCGGGAACAAGATACCTGCATTGCAGTCGGAGATCTTCAAGCGTTCCGGTCTGCTGAATCTCCAAAGGGTCTTCTTGAGGAACGCTGGTATCCATAAGATCCACGCGGACTCGTTCAGGGACATGAGGATCCTGGTGGAGATCGACCTATCGGATAATCACGTGGAGATGCTGGAACCAGATACTTTTCTAGGCAACGAAAGACTGAGGATCTTAATCTTAAGCGGGAATCCTTTGGGTAATCTGAGGAGTCACCAGTTTCCGGTCTTGCAGCACCTGAGGAACCTGGAGTTGCAGAGGTGTACGTTGTCCGGGATTCACGGCGAGGCGTTCGTTCACCTGTCCGGCCTAGAGTCGTTGAGGTTAGACCAAAACCGGCTGGAGTACCTGGAGGTGTCGGTGATATCGAACCTGCCACGTCTGAAGACCTTAACGCTGGATGAGAACCAGTGGAGCTGCGACTGTCGACTTCGAGATTTCCGGACCTGGCTGATCCCCAATGGACCCAGCAAACTATACTCTGTGCCTCAAGTGTGTTCGTCACCGCCGAGGCTCGAGGGCCGCAAGTGGGAGGACGTGAAACCGGTGGAATTCGCCTGTGAACCCGAAGTGTTCGTGCTGGCTAGCAGCATTCAGGAAGAGACGAATGGGAATCTGAGTCTGGCCTGTCTAGCGACGGGGGATCCAGAGCCCGAGGTATGGTGGCAACTGAACGGAGGCCCAGTGAACGCGACCAAATTAACAGAACAAGCTTACTTGGGAACCTACGTTGCCTATGCGTCGTCCGACGTTGGCATGAGCTACAACGAACGACTCTCGTCGCCCAATAAACTCACCGATAGGTGGAACAACTTGACTGTCTACAACGCCAGTGATGGTGATGCCGGCGAGTATTCTTGCTTCGCCAAAAATATCGCTGGTCTGGCAAGGGATACCGTCAGTGTAGCGATTTCGCGGGTGTACACGGCGCCTACACTCTCTCAGAGCGATAACTGGTTGCTCTGGGTGAGCCTGGCCGGTGGTGGAGCAGCTGCGTTGTGTGCTTCCATTTCTGCGGTTTTACTGGCCCTGTGCGTGTGTGGTGGGACTCGGCGACAGAGTGCTCGCGAGAAAGTGAAGCTGCAGAGCAGTACCAGTTTCGGTGACCAGGAGAAAAAGCTTCTAGACCTGTCCGTGACGACCACCACTCCTGGAAACAGCAACGACAGAGGCAGTGGTCACGGTAGTATAATGGAGGCTTGCAGCACGGGTGACCTGGAACTGGCTGAAAGAGGGTCTATATGTGATCCCATGAGCGCGGCCACTGTTACCGTAGAGAGACTGCGACCCGAGATGAGCAGTGGCTCCGTGAGCACTATGAGAACCGTACCGTGCGCCGCCATGTTTCCGCCACCGCCGCCAGAGTTCACTAGCGGCGTCCTGCCAGCCGGCATCTTTGGGAATATCTTCATTTCTGTGTCGATGCCACAGGATTCCTCCGATCGTTGTTATCCCGATCTTCTGGACATTCCCGTTCACGGCACCAGCGGTGTGGTGAACAAAACGACTTCGGCCCTTCCGGCTGCCAGCAGCGTGTCTAGTTTCGCGACTCTGCCGCGACGAGCGCTGCGATCCAGCGACCTCTGTTCGCCTTACGACAATATGGGGCCCCGTGTCACGGCCAACGGGAGTTCCGCGTTCTCGCTGACGGACGTGGACCTGCGATTATCGCCACCCCCGCCACCGCGAATCATACAACCGCCGCACGAGTTCGTATCCCTGTGAGGGACGTCCCCATGCGGCCGGCTTTCGAGCAAATAGTCGGTATACTTGTTCAAAGCTCGTCCGTCGCTTTCTTCCCCTCAAAAACATACCACCATCATGTTCAGTCACGCGTCCTCTTCCCCTCGATCTCGTTCGTTGTGTTTGTCGTCGATAGTATTCCACACGTATCCGCATTTTATACGGTGAGCCATCGGTCTACCCGGTGAAACGTTGACAAGTTTATCGCTCCAGTGTAGGAATTGTGGTGATCGAATTTTTCCTTTCTAGCAATCGTTCGAAACTGGTAATTTGATTTTTGTCGCCTGTGATATTTTACTAATCGATTTTCTGATTCTTTACTAACCTCTAAAGCAATCGATTAGCCCTCGATTCGTGTGAACGCTTCCGACAGAAAAAGACGAATGACCAATATTCCTGTTGCCAAATGTAAGTCGAAAAACGAAAGTGGATACCGTCGTATTTCTGACGCCGTGAGTGCTATGGTATACGAATGTTTACAATTGTTATCGTCACTTGGTAAGCGAATGGCTCACATTTTTAAATCATCCGAGACCACTCCTCGAGCGTACGTTGGTTAAGGTTGTATGCGTACAGGGACCTAGAAAGTTTGTATCTCGTTGGTATATTTAAAAGACGTCCGGAGGTTATCGAAAGTAGTATACAGTTATGTCTGTCCAACCTACTCGATTACATAAAAGACGTCGAGTCTCGAAACTGCACGTTCCCCCTGTAGCAAAAGTGGCGCCCCAGGGCGCCAATGATCGACGTCCGCCATTTGGAATTACCGACGAAGCGATTCCTTTTCGCCCGTGAAACGATGCTTTCTGCGCCAAAGAGGACGGTTCATTTTGTAAATAGCTCGAAAAGATTAAACTCGTTCGTTTGCTCATGTATCAGAAATGAAAGACAGAGAGCTGAATGGTTTCTGATACTAGAACTCGTAAGACTTGTGACTTTTTATAACGAACATATGTATAGTCGACCCGATATTTTTCGATGTTGATCGTTTTAGAAGCTCGCTGTGCATAATTTTAAGAATTTAATCCAGCAACTTCTTCGTTCGGTGTACATAATATATTAATGGTTTCAGTTCAATGGGCAGCAATTATAGTGCTTCCAATAGAGGGCTGCGGTTATTTATTTTCCATCTGGCTCCCAATTAATCCATATCTTCGTTAATTAATCCGTTCTGCAAATGTTTCACTTATATTTACTTGTGTTAAATGGCGTCCTTTGTTACAGTGATATACGAACCGTAATTCTAACCTCTTTCGTCTCACCTTCTTGAATCGTTTCCATATTCTTCATAGGTACAGAGGAATTATTTTAAGCCCATGTTCTGCAATATTCGAAAAGCATTAATTAAAGTTATTTCCTGTCATTGTATCCCTTAATACCTTTCCAAGCACGCGTTACTGCCAACTTCATGCTTTGTCCGCCATTTTCCTTTCTTCAATACTCGTGTATATATCTCATCGCTTCTCATTTACATTTCCTATACTTTTTTAGCTGCTCGTTACATCTTTGTTCAGGCAATTTACAATCTCAGACATATTCCACAGAGTCACTAGCTTATATCAAGATTCCTTGAACACGAACAAAATCAACTGGATATACGAAATGGCTACCTAACCTCTATCTTTCCAAATTTCTAGAAAATGAAACGATCACTTCATCCAATTCTTATACATCATCAATAAGACTTATATATATATCACGCCTCTATCGCTCTTACTTTCTAATATTTATGTTCACCTTGAAATGTTTGTCTGTGAATCCTAACCTCTAATACCTCCAATTTTCAGACACATTTCACAGAACCATGGACTTACGTCGACGTTCCTCTGTCCATGGACACAACCAACGCGTGCAGTTTCTAAGACGTGTCCCCTCGTGTCTGTATGTTCGCTTGTCTAACTGGCTTGCATGCTTGGTTGGCGTTACAATGGCTGCTCGCAGAGGAAGCGTGTACAATGACGAGTGCGTGTGTGATCGTTTAGGACGTAAGTTTCTTCTAGTTGCCAATACCCACGGATCCCGGTGGTTTGTAAATACCTGATAAAAGGACAGAAACGATGAAGAAGGACGAAGAGAACGAAGGTACAGGGGGCAAAGAAGAAGACGAGGTGGAACGAGGTTATCCTCATGGCGGATGCAGAGGACGAAGTAACGTTATTTCCCCTAATCATTCTCGAGGTGTATCACTAGTTTGTTACGTACTCTACGTGTGTACAGTTGGTGGAACCGATACGGCGAGGTTGTGAAATCGGTCAGGCGCTCGAGCTGACATCTTCCGAGGCGAAACGGTACTTGCAGACACACAGATGGCCGGAGACGAAGACGAGGAACGTCCGCTGGGAGTTGCTCGTCTCTTCGTGTGATACCTGAAACGAATTCGCACGTGATACAATTTGGAGAACATTTTTCGTGCGCGTTGTACGCCGATTTTGAATATCCAATTCAGCGACCTAACCTAACTTGGAATTCAAGTGGCACCGTTCATACGGCTCCGAGCACGGATGTGTCGCTTAATGTCGCTTCAAACGATTCAATTCGTCACCTGCCTGTCTCAGTTCCTTCAGCTGTACATATTTGTTATCGCAGTACACGTATTTAATAGCGTGGCCGGCGCGTGCCGCGTCGCCGCCCATTATGAACACTTTGTCAATTAATAAAACGATTGAATTTTACACATCATCGAATTATTGTTCTCACTTAATTCCGACAAACGATCAATCTGTTCGAACCTGGCTACTGCTACAAGATAGAAGAATCAAGTCTTCAGGTGGATTTTGGGGGATGAAATTGGTGAGCAGAGGGACTAAGTTAGGGGCTCTGTACATTTTCGAATAAAAATAAAGTTGGGAAAATTAGTCTGGTAATTTCGACTAATGCATGAACGAGTTGCCTTATTGACATAATTTTCCTCGCGTTTGGAATTTTCTGACAACCTTCGCAAATCCAGCTTACCACGATAAAATCTGACAATCTTTTCTAATTTGCCAAGGAATTAGATGGATGTAGGTGTATTTCATAAATAGGCTTATTTGGATTTTTTAAAAATTCGTTTTGGCAGTCTATGATCAGTAGGAGAGTACCTATCAGCCGAATCCAGATGGTAACCGTATTACCGTGGATTAGCTCGAGGATTAAACGAAAATTCGAACAGTGGGATCGACAGTAGCGATCGTAAACGTTCCCTGAGCGTTGAATGGAAGCGCAGAAATTAGAAGTCTGAACTTGCGGAGATAATACGAGCATTGTTTGCTAAATCGTTGCAACGTACGCGTTGATTAAACGTACGTAACACCGGTGGATGCTGGAATGGAACGGCGCAGATCGGCTTAAATGCTCGAATCGGCTGATAATTTCGACAAATTAATCGCGTTAATTTTCGCAAGTATGGAGATTTAAATCGTTAATATTACAATGTCCCATTGAACTCGTCGATAATTCGCAATTAAGAGAAGGGAATAATTAAAATAACGCGGTTTGATTTTCAAGCGCTCGTTCCCAGGTGATTCGAAGATCGAACGTACTTCATTAAAATCCCAGAAGCGAAACCTGGCCAGAGACCTTCCCGTGGATTTAATCGGCTGATTAACACCGAAATACACATTGTTAATTAATAATGGGATTAACAATCGAACGCACGATTCGCTTCTTGCGACGATGAAAGAAAAACTTCGCGAATTCTACTGGTTATGAATTATCCAACGGATGCTAGGGAAAATAACATCTGCTTGTGACATTGTCAAATAAGAAAAACAAAGAGAGAAAGAGAGGGAGAGAAACGAGGAAAAGACAAGGACGTTTCAGCTTTACATAAGAAGATTGTAAACGAAGAGTGCAAGAGAAACTCTCAGACGTTCCTTGTCATAAACAAAAATTGGTTATGAGCGAAGAATAATTGCACTCGTGGATTCTAGGTCGATTCTACATAAATATGAAGACCGTTCCAAAATTTTGCAATTCTTACATGATAATATCTACCGAATTTTCGGAATAAAAACAAATTTCTAACAAAACCAAGGTATTTACAATGTGTGATGCACGAGTCATATGTGACGCCATTTTTATTTTTCCCAAGAAAAGAAATTTAGGAACGAAAAAAAATATTCGCCAAAGAAGGAAAGAAAAATTGTTTAAAATAAAGAAACGTGCTTTTTCGTGGGAAAAGTTCGTATAGAAACGAATTTCTAACAAAACAAAGGTACAATGTATGGTGCACGAGTCATATATGACGCCATCTTTATTTTTCCCAATAAAGAAACTTGGACACAACAAAATATTCGCCAGAAAAAGAAAGAAAAATTGTTTAAAATAAAGAAACGTGTTTTCTCATGGGAAAAATTTCGTATAAGAAGGGAATCATGGTCTTGTCAGGTTTATTACCCTCGTTTTCTCGTTATCAGAAATTCTAACCTATAAGGCTAAGTAATGACACACAGACAATGACACTCGAATTTACGTTTCAAAATCGATTTTTATTTCATCGTTCGCAATTTCCTGGTAGTCTTAGACAGAATTCTGGAATCGTAGGTCGCTGGTCACCGGCTAGAGATAGGTTAGGTCAGATCGCGCGAGTTCCATGGGGTCGAACCTGAAGATCCTCGAAGATCATTTGCAGATGGCTCGATCGGCTTCGTTCTCGCGACCAAGCCTCGGTGTGTAACCATTCAGCTGACTGTTCCGAGAACCTGGAATTCACGAACAACCAAGGTACAGATACGTCATTCTAACTCGCAGATTCGTCGCTGAGGAAGACATGTCAAACCCTGTTCAACTTAGCCCAAAAGATCGTACCACGTTTAGAAATCTAAAATTCTTTTCTAAAATTCTCACATGATCTTACTATTCGTTCATAAATCGAAATCGTAACATTTATGCCACTCCAAAAGCTTCCTGTTAATCCCCTATTTCGTCCCGGTTGCGTCGACAACGTTCACCCATCGGGTTCCAGGTCAGCTGATATAAATAACGCATTAACAGCGTTTTATTCGCCGCAAATCCATTCCGTGCGTTCCCAACGCGTTACACTGCCCCTGATGGTAGGGTGGGGTCGGGATGAAATACTCCCCGTACGAGGGGAAAAATTAAATTGGCATTTGGGCCGCGCATCAACAGAACATTCGTGACGAATGTTCGCGCTTTTGTTCCCGGATCACGTATCGATGGGGTTGGACTTTCGCACGGCTATATCGCGGTAGCATTCCGTGGGGAAACTCGAAAAAGCTTTAGCAGGGGTGAACGATAGCAAGCTTGAGGCACAGTGGGTGCGATGGAACGGGGATGAATTGACGAATTCCACGGGAAAAAGGGGGTACAATAGAGCTGGGTCTTTTTGATGGCCACTGTTATACAGACACGCGGCTTTCACGCTGAAACTGTCAAACCACTTGGAATGATTTAGTGACACTTTGTTTTCACGATCGAGCGTGTAAATAGCTGTTACTGGTCAAGTTAATTTAGGCTATTCTGTATATCATGACACGAGTAAACTATATTTAAAGCCTACGCATCAGTAGCTCTAGCAATGTGATCTAGTGTCTAAGATAACTCTTCGTGAATACAAAAGATTTGACTCGGTACTAAAATTTGTGTATTGGATAACACATCTCTAGGTAATAAGGAAACTACAGTAGAGAGCTGAGAAGATGCAGAAGCGAGAGTAGTCTTCCTGTCGCCTAATTTCCCAGTCTTCCTTTCGCATAATTCCAAATGGAAGCCTTGGCAGACTCACTGGTGTCAACGCACGTTGAAATCTCAGCTAATAAGGCAAGCAGACGTGTCTCTTATTTAGGATTCTGTTAGAAGAGGTGGTTATACATATTATACAAATGACTAATCTAATGTACACTCTTTCTGACTGCTTATCTAAGATTAAGAATCCTCGTTGATCTTACTGAGAACCAGAAATGGTAAATACTTTCGTGTCATACCTCGAGTCAGTATCAAAGAACCGGGATAGGCAGATTTTTCGTCGTCCAACTTTTGCCAAGGTCGATAGTCTTTGGACGAACGGAGCCGATCTGGGATCAGCCACGATGCTTCCTTCGGAAATTTGTCTGCATGCTTAGGGTTCATCGATCTTCCAAGGTATCCTAGGGTTGGATTGCGAGGGTCTGCAAATTGCATGGTAATTTATGCGATTATGCTGGCTGGAGGTGTTGTATTCAATCTCGTTGAATCGGTCGCGAGTAACAATCATAAAGCAGAATATCTGAGAAACAACCAGAGAGCACGGCAGCCTGCGAAGCTAGGAAGTTGGACAAGAGAGATACTTCGGCGAACTCAACCTTTGATGTTGCTGGAATTACCAATTGCACTGTCTCTGCTGGTTGGTATAATAATTGGCTATGTCTATGACACTGCAAACTCTACGTTGTGTCAACGGGTCATGACGCAAGCGTCATCGATACTTTAAAACCCGTTATACTGTTGGCTACCTTTTTATTTTCATTGTTACTTTTTGACAAATAGAAAGAACAAGAAGTTTCGGGAAGAAACAAGACAGTTTTGAGAATATTCCATTATCTGGAACTGGTCCCTGTCAAAATACCTAAGATCTAATAGTTTCGGTGAACAACAAAAATTCACGAGTTCTATCCACTTGATCCTGTCAGAGAAAATGGTCCCCTTACTTAAAATCCTTATTCTAAAGCAAACGTTTTGAGAATATACTATTATCCCGAGCTGGTCCCTGTCAAAATACCACATTCTCACGTTTCAAAATCTGGCATTTTCAGTCAACAACGAAATTTCGTGAGTTCTATCACTATAATCCCTATAATCCTGTCATAGAAAGTGTTATTATCACTTATGACCAAACAAACGTGCTTCCCATTGGCACGCCAAACTCCTAGCTCCGCTGAGCAGCGAGGACGACTTCCGTGAAAGATGGCCGACCTGAAAGATTGGTCATACCGACGAAATGGTGCGGCGATTCGTCACTGCGCGTTAGATGGAGCAAACGCAGAAGCATAAAAATGCGAACAGCCACTTGCCACGTTTTAAGTGGGACACGCTACGCAAAATGGCGCGTGCTATTGGCCATCTTTCACGCGGCAAGATAAATTACACGTAAAATGGGATTGCCGAATTGCACGCGAATGCACGTTTCAATGTTATTGGCGATACTTCACCTTCGTAATCTTTGTCGGGGACGGAGTCCGACTCGGCATTGTAAAATTGGAAATCGGTGTCTGGTTCCATCACGTGATGGCGGTTGAAATTTACGTTGGAAATCGGCACGTCGGATCGACCAATCCTGGGATAGGCCATCAAGCCGGACGCTCGCCTATCGTTGGACTTCAGCTTCTCTGCCTCTGAAACATTACGAGATGAAATTTAAAATATAAAATTAAAATACATCAAATTAGGTAAACGAATTGAATAATAATTTGATAAAACAGGAACGGAAATACGACTCGTCGAATTTCTCTTATTCCTTTCTTTCTTATAAGAGAGCAATTTAAAAATTCAATAAGCAGTCGAACAAATTATCGGGAAAGGATTTCATTTCATTTTGGGATTAAACGTGTGTTATTACCATTTTTACCACCGTGTTGAATATTTGAAAAACATCGACCGACGTGAAGTTACGAACAGATTAGAAAATTTCGCGTATTCATCGACAATCTTTTAAAGACCGATTCGCTCGATTCTAACGGGTGTTCCATTTGTTCGATTGAGCGATACTGAGGCAACGTCGAGATCGGGGAAGCAAGGAAAATGGAGTCGTCATGTCACTCGTCTGTAAGTTCTAACGCGACGTGAAATTGAGGCACAGATAGGAGTATCCTTAGTGTAAATGATTATCGTTGCACACCGAAAGGGCGGCCATTTTTTGTTTATCGTTTGATGAATGCAGATCCAATTAACTGCAGTATCTTTCGAACATTTCTGCTTCATTCCGTGGCAACTTTTTGCTACGGACGCGTTTCCGCTTTTGGTGAAAGCGTCAGAGGGACTCGTTTTCCTCTTTTAGGGCAACGTGATTTTTTTTTCCCTTTAATTAGAAACGAAAGAGCGGAAAAGTTAAGACCGCGCGGAGTGTACACGGTATAAAATGTTCAAAGCTGTGCAATTTTTCGGCTCGAAAAATGTTGACCATGTTGGTAAAAGGCTAGTAAATATGAAGACTGTTAAATAAAACATACTGTGTATCGTGATCGAAGAGACAAACGAGATATGAAAATATTGCTGGAGCAATGACAACGAAACTACGAATCTTTGTTGCGGACTTGTACTTAAAATCATGCTGAAAAATAACACTGATGAAGTAAATCAAGGAATTACGATATTAACGAATTCTTCGAAATTTTGAGTACGAAACTGACGACGAATTACTCTCAAAACCGGAAAAACCGATTTCCAATAATGAATTTTCGAGTGCGGGGAGAAAAAAAGTAAATAAAAAAAAATCCGAAAATACTAATACTTATGCGAATGTCTTGCCTCTGGTATACTGGAACTCCTGACCTTGACGATATTGGCATACTAAAAAACAAAGTTAATTACAACCCAGCCCAAGATGCCCAAAAATGAAGTTTCCCTCTTATTCCGAATCTATACAATGCGAAACCCGATAATTAAAGCGAAAAAGGAGAAAAATAAAAAAGCTAATTCGCAGACCGACGTGAAGATAGCAGCAGACGATATATTCGTTCCGTTCAGTTGCACAATTCTTAATAGATCCCTACATGTTAGGGATCCCAAACTTCCAATAATTAACCAGAAAAGGAATACGAAAGATACACGAAAAACGAAGAAAAATGGCTGAGAAGCGATTAATTTACGAGAAACGTAAACGACACTCCATTCTAATTTACCCCCACCACAGAAACAGAGAGCTCGGAAAATATAAATTAAAAGCAGAGAATTACCGTCTGAAAATCAACCCTCGCAGCGGAATAATTAGCCGCGGAAAAGAAAGTAACGCGAAACTGCAAACGTAGCGGGAACGAGAGAACGAAAAGAACGAGTTGGGAGAAAAATGGCGGGCTGTCATGGCGGGCCGCGCTGGTGGCGCGCAAACGAACCGCGAGACCGGGAAAAATGGGAACCCTTCCGTTGGCCGATTCGACCGGATGAGACGTTGCACTTACGGGTGAGAGAAGTGGAAAATATTAGAGCGAGCAGGAATACAAATAGGTGATTTCTCATGGCGATGGCGGTCGTCGGTCTCACGGAGATCAAGATTCGATGAAGCGATGCTGAGCAGAGCACGGGATCCCGTCCGACACTGAATACCCCCAGGTATCCGACGTCTGATTTTATACCTTGCGCCTCGACCAGCCACGGGGCTTGCCACCCCAACCCCGGTCGTCTTCTCAACCCTCCCTTTTCGCAATGCCTGTTCCACCCACCTCGTCACGCACCCCGCGATCGGTATGGTGATTCGATAGCTCGCCGCTTGATCCCGTTGCTACGTCCAGCCTACGTAGACCTCGTTGCACGGGCTTGTTCCGGATTTATCCTCGTCAATGACAATGAAGTAAGGGCGAAGGGTCCTCCGAGGATCTCGTTCGTCTTTTCCAATGGTACCAGTCACTGTCAATGTGGTTGCTGAATGAAACAGACCTGGAAAGAAGAGAACGAGCCGGTTAATGTCTGCAATCGAGGAAGTTAGGGGTTAAAGTGTTTCACGCAGCTGGTTCATACGTCCCGGGGATTTTCTGGGATTTTCTCAGATTTTATGATCATTCGTTAGAGGAATATTGACGAAGGGATTGGGCTTCATGGAGGTTTGATAGAAAATCTGGATTTCGCGAATACTGAGCATGCTTTATAGGTAAAATCTGTTCTAATTCGACGAATGGTGTTAATCGCTGGAGATATTTTGCTTGCTTTAATACGGCCTCTATTTCCGTGCTAATTTCGAGATAAATGGTCGGTCTTTGCAGATTTACTTCGAAGCATCGATTGATAGGGATCATCTTCTACGGATTCCGGATGCAAATATTTGCAGGAAGAATGAAGGGTTTCTCATAGACCGAACTTGAGACTAGATATCTGAAATCCTTCGATCTGCAAACTCCGCGTAATCTTGTAATCAAAAGGGAATAAAAATTATTTAATATTTCAACGTCAAGTCGAGAATCTACGTTTTCCCTCCTTCCTTGCTATTCCAAATACACCTCGCGTCTTTAAAAATTGCCACGTTATTGATTTCAGCTTGCTGCATGCGAAATGCAATTTTCTAATTAAACTCTGTATACCAGCAATAAATTAATTTTATTTTTCCTATGAATATCGCGATTTTTAGACTTAAACAATTTATTAAAAATTACCTGCACCACTCGCGTACACGTTGAAAACGTGTTATTCACGGACGTTTCAGGGAGTGATGATGCGAAAAATCGGTCAAGCAAAGTGGACGTGACAATATTTCCTATGTTAATCCCTCCATTTAATTTTGAACAATTTCATTCGAAATATTACTTATTCCATCTTCGAAATCGACCTATCCAGCTCGAACTCTAGAAACGAAAATAGAACCGTTCCAATATTTGCATCGCGTCCTTCGAAAGTTAGACCCGCACTTCCAACAGTTCCACTGCGTTTTTCCCAAACTGTGGTCGCATAAAAAGGTCACCGAATTTTATTTCATTTTACTTTCGAACAGTCGAATATGGGTTCAAACGTATATATAGACGCAGGGGCTAATTTCAAACTTTGCCGAAAGCAGCACGTGTGCACCGCCCAGAGAGACATGTCCCTAGACGTCACTTAAAACGCATTAGACCATAATCAGACTAGACTCGATCTAATCTCAAGAGCGAAATTAAAATCGTTTCCTGGGCAACGAGGATTTCTGAAAACGCTATAAGATGGTTAAACAATGGGACAAATGAGTAAAGCAAGAGTCCACTGCGAAGCTTCCCTCTAATGAGCCTCCTGGATAAATGCAAATAGCCATATAATGTGCGATAAAAGGGCGAAATTCGCGCAAACACGCGGAGCTGCAATTAACGTGAGCCAAATCGCTCGATGTTTCCCCCATAAATACTATTTTGCAATTGATAGAAACCGCCCTGCCGTCACTCTGTATTTAACGCAGCGACTCGAGACCGGGTTTCATCCGCGATGTATAAATTACAGAGATAATCCCGAATTGATTCCAGGCTGCAGTCGCGACATTTCCGAATCACTTTCGTCGGATGCAGACAGTCGTGCCACATTTCTGGGCTTAATTGTCCCGATTAATAGGTCGGGGCAACCGGGAAAAGCGACGTAGGTGACACCACGAAGCGGTAAAACTGTCCCTGAAACGGTTAGGCCACATAAATTACACGGTTCCCAGGGCCCTGCCGGGCACGTAGAGCACTTTAACTTTGTTTAACACGTTCGCCGCGTACGTTTCGAATCCGAGTCAGCATGATGCCGAACTTCGATGCGGGACGTAAATTAAAAACCGCGAAGTTTCGCCGAAAAACTTTCATAATAATTCACCTAGGCATATAGGAGAAGTTTCGCAATATGGCAGTGGCTTATGTACGAGAATGATCTTTAAACATAGGTGCATTGTGGATGATGAAAATTCGATCAGTGGCGGAGTGCTGGATATTTCCGTGCACTCTCAGGATGAAAATTTCATGGACGCACCTTTCGGCGCAGGGCCGTAGACTGACGGGGCAGGATGTCGAGAGACGACAGGAAGAAGATGTCAATGCAAGATGTATTTACGATACGTTGTATACGATATTGTTAGGTAGAATTGGACGACAATGCGTTGTACCTGCTTTTACGAGTAATGCATGAAATTTAACAGATATTTAAGGAAGCTATAATAATTTCCAATATGATTGTACACCGGTAATAAAATTACTCAAACTTGCATAATTTGCAAAAGATTCGTCTACAGAAAATGCATGATGGAGAAACCTGTTACGTGTAAAAAGTGTTATTAACGAATTAAATATCCTTTTTTGTAAAAATAAAAATACATGTTTGATTATTTTAATGTAAATCGAAAGATATGTTGCGAATTATTTTCTGTGATAAATTAATAATTTTTGCCGAAAAATTAACGTTTGTTTCATAAGGGATCATTTTAGTCGTGTGTAAATTACCGATACGTTTAGTATTAAATAATAAACCCAATAAATAATAAAAGCAATAAAAAGTAATAAATCCATTCACTCTTTGCAGAAGATTCTTCTCTCTTGCTTGCTTTCAATAATTATTACAGTTTGGTACTCACTCTTTGATAATTTTCAGACAATTGTTCCATTTTTATAAATATTTTTTTAAACATCATTCACAATAGATAATAAAACATAATGTAACTAGATATATATATATCATAGATTGTGCAAATATAGACAAATGATTGATTTCACCTATTCAACCTCACACACGCAGAACCAATACTCGCAGACAGCAGTGGGTGTTGTAATCTGGCTTAAAAGAATCGATTTTTTTTTTTTTTACATTTTCTCGAAGTTCACGCGTTCGAAAATGTCCGTGCGAAAGGATTCGTTTGAATCCGTAAAATTAGCAAAGTTATAGATGTTTGAAGTACGGCGTGCAGGCATTGTACAATGGGTAACGAAAACTTCAAACGCGTTTTTCTCGAAACCGTATTTTTCGAACTGACTAACAGTATATCTCGAGTTTCAGTCGACCGATTGACTCGAAATTTGGAGGAGATCTTCACCGGGTGTACCTTCATCGCGTGGATCACGGATTTCAAAATCTGATACTTTTTTCTATTTTTTCTCACCACTCAAAGGACGAAAAGCACGAGGAAAATCGATATTTAAATTTCAAAATGCTGTCATTTTTTTAATTTTCGAAATTTCGTTATTTCGGTGGTTCGTGCTATAGCCGTATTTATACTAATCAAGATCCTTTTTAGTTTTTTCGTTTCGGATAACCAGATGGCCCGGAATGGTGTCAGCAATTCGAGCCTGGTTTTTAAAAACACAATTCACCCGAGGCTATATACGATTTCCATAATTTTCAATAACTTCGTTTAAAAAAAATTGGAAATATTCTTCAGATATAAATAAATCCAACTGCGAAAACTGCGTATCAAAAGGTATCACGATTTCCATAGAAAAAAATCCCAAAGGTCGATTTTTATTGACCGGGTTACGAGAATATACCCTTAAAGTTAAAACCGCTTTAATTAAGGCAGCTCGTGATTACGTATTTAAAATTTGCGGTCGCGATTTCCATACAGCAGTGAGCACCGGCTATATCTGTCCAACCGTGGGGCTTTTATTTTTTGAAGCAATTAAACCGTGGTAATTCTCGCGGACGATGGTGTTCCGCGTTACGCGAAACAAAACGGGTAAACAATTTTTGCTGAACGGTTTCGATATCGGGTCAAATTTGCTCTCGAATTCTGAAATTCGTCCACCTGGTCGCTCACGACTCGACTTTTCGTTCGTTCATAGGGGAAACACCTCTGTAAGACCCCTTGAACCCTTGCAAGGAAAGGACAACTCTTGACACTCTGTCACGAGTCATCAGTCGCTCTAGAGGGATACATATCAAAGATAGATATACCTTCCTTGAGAAATAAAAGAATTTAAAAGAGAATTATATATAACGTAGTTATTTTACAATTATAAAACCCATAATCCCAATTATATTGTGATTTTTGTGCTTTTTTCAACTTTAGCGTAGTAAAAAAAATAGTTAAAAGCATTAGATTGTCAAAATTTTGGTTCGGATGATAGAGATACACCTGCTGAAGATACCCCCCAAATTTGATCATAATTGATCAACTAGAACTCGAGATATCATGGCAACCATTTGGAAAAATATGGCTTCGAGAAAAAGGAATTTGAAGTATTTCCTACAAATATATACAGGGTGTTCTAAAAAAATCGTATACACACTTTAATACCGTATTCTTTCTGATTTATTTTTTCTTTTCTACAACCCATTTAAAATAATGACTGATTTTAGACTATGAAAAACGTAAATATATTTTAAAGTGCTACCATAAGTGTGAAAACATACTGGAAGTGCAAAGCCGGTTTAATTAAACAGTACAATATATACTGTTTTTATAATCTCGTAAAGTGTGTATACATTATTTTGGGACACCCTGCATACTAATAACTTCGTCAATTTTACAAATTCAACAATATTCAGTGACAAAAACATTTTCCAAGAAATATACCTTCAAAAACTAAAATAAAAAAGAA